AGAGAGAGAGAGAGAGAGAGAGAGAGGGAGGAGAGAGGAACATCCATGTGAGAGACACATTGATCAGTTACCTCCTGCACACGCCCTGACCCAGGCCAGAATGAGGTCTGCAACCCAGGTACATGCCCTTGACCAGGAATCAAACTTGGACCTTTGAATACGAGGGCCAACACTCTAACTACCAAGCCAAACTGGCCAGGGTGGGATTCCTTTTCTTTTGGAATATTTCTAATATATGCAAATATAGAGGAAATAGTAAAATGAACTCCATTATTGAGTTTCAAATATAGCAACCATTTTGTTAATCTTCTTTCAACTGTCACCAATCCCATTACTAAATACTTAAAAAATTATTATAGAACCACATAAATGAATTATAGCTATAAAAAAATTAATGTATATCACACCTGCCCCTTATCTCAATAAATATATTTTTACAAATGGTAGATATATTTTTCCACTCAGCATACATTTATATTGCTTAGATTTATTTTTGATAATATTTACTACTTGTGTAATTAAAAACAAAAACCTTTTAAAAAAGTACATAAGAAAAAAATTAATTTTACACCCTAGCCAGTGTATTCTAATGGTTAGAGCATCAGTCTGCACACCGAAAGGTTGCAGGTTTGATTCCCAGTCAAGGGCATGTACCTGGGTTGTAGGTTTGATCCCCAGTTCAATTAGGGCATGTGTGGGAGGCAACCAATCTGTGTCTCTCTCTCACATCGATCTGCCCCCCCACCCCCACCTCTTCTTTCCTTCTACTCTCTCTAAAAAATCATTGGAAAAAATGTCCTTGGGTGAGGATTAATAAAAAAAAACCAAAAAAATTAATTTTATCCTGTAGGCAAAACCAGAACAGGGTGTGTGAATATTAAAAAATTTATACTGAATTGTGGTTTTCAGATGGGAAAGAGTAACTGTTATGTCAAACAAGTAACAGCTGAGGTTTATTTTATAGCTTTGTATCCTAAGTGTCATATGGCATGTGTGTTTTAAATTAAATTTTAAGGCTTTCTTCAGATTTTTATAATAAAGTTACTACTTTCTATTATAAAAGTAATGTGCTTATGAAAATAAGGGAGAGAGGAGAACTCCCACATCTACTCTCTGCTTTCTCTGTAAATGTAAACTATACTGCATATTAGTATAATTACCTCCAATAGCAATCAGTCGATCTCCTCGCTGAAGATCAGCAAGTGCAGCAGGTGAGTTTGGGGCCACAGTCTCAATGATGACGTGCCCGGCATACCCGTCAGTTGACTGGACAAGACGAAGTGTAAGTCCAACACTTTGTAAATTCCCCTTAATTAATTCAACCTTTGATAAAGAGAAAAAAATGAAGATATTTAATGGATTCATAGTAGAGAGTGAGAAAACATGAACACACTGAGAGCACTACGGTTGATGCTGACTTTTGTACCACAATGACTATTATAGACAAATAAAGGAGGAGGGAAATCTTTATTGTGACAGTACACACAACACAGATACATCTCAGAGGTGTACTGAATGAAATGAGTCAAACATAAAAGACACTATACTCTAGGATTCAATTTGTAGTAAATTCTAGAAAAGCAAAATTAAAGTGACAGAAAGTAGATGAATACTTACCAAGGACAAGAGGTTGGGGGCTGAATATTGAAGGCAAGTAGCACAAAGTTTTCAAGATGAAAGAAATATTCTATACCTTGATTGGGGTGAAGGTTATGTAACTGTATACAATTACCAAAATTCACCAACTGCACAGTTAGTGAACCTACTGTATTTAAATTATATCTTATTAAAGCTATTAAAAATAAAGCAACAAAACCTTGAATATGCCATTTTTTTGTCTTAAGATACATAAATATACAGGTCACTGTTAAGTCATTCAGATAGCCCTTAGTTTTCCAATATACTTAAACCCTGCACTCCAATGCCAGAGCAACCACCTTTAAACTTTGTTTCTGTTTTTAATTGTTGTAGAGATTAACTTTTTTCCCTCTGGATAACGCATCAGTTCTGAATATATAAAATTTTAGAGTGTTTGTTGACTTCTTACTATAATAGACTAGGATGTTAGCCCATTCTCCTTCCCCCCATTATAGTAGTTACATCGCTGTTTTTAGTTCCTCTGTGTCTCTTTATAACTTTAATACCTATACATCCCTATGTCTTATTTCATCAACTATAGACAATATCCCTCTCGATATTAGGACTTCTATCCTTCCCTTGTCACCTCTTCTCTTTGTACACCTCTACCTTCTAAACTCTACCATCAAAGTTGATAGCTATTTTACTTATGTTCTAATTCTAATTAAGCCATCAAGGTAGATGATTCTAAAGGCTAAAAATGACTAAATATTATTTATAGCTCATTTCTGTCTTATATAGCCTTTTGTTTTTCTTGGAGGTTTTGTTTTCTTTCAACAATATAGCTTTCACTTTAAATGCAAAATTTACGTAAGTACTGCTTCTGCAGTTAGCTCTCAAATTCATCCATCCATTTGTTTGCATATTAAGCACCCAGTTGAAGGGAAGTTTTTCCCACCCCCACTCTACCAAAAAGAAGCCAGTTAATAAATGTACAAGGAATGATCAAATTAGAAAAATTGCCCCGCCCCCAAAGTTAGAGGGACTGGTTTAGATTTTTTTTAAAAGGCAAAAAACCCAATGTAGTGTTTGCATTTTGATGAGAACCTAGTTGAGGGGAAAAGCTACAAAAAAAATTTATGGGACATTGGGGGCATTTTAATAGAAACTGAAAATTATGTGAAATTAGGGAAATTTTAATTTTGTTATGTGTGGTAACGATTATGTAAAAGTCCTATATTTAGAAGGTTCATACTGAAATATTTAGGGGTGACACATAATTTCTACAACAATCCTTGCCTATGATTTTAGGCAAATGTTAACTTCTCTAAATGTGACTGGTAAAATGAGATATCCATATTAAATGTGGAGCTATGAAAAGGTTCAGTGTTTATTACTATTATTAGTAAGACTGAGCACTAGTCAAAAATGGGGATGCAAAAGGAAATTTAAAAAGCAATGAATGAAAATATACAGCTAAAGAAATGAGGCAAACATGAAATAAACATAAATTAAGGACATTAGAATACTTAAACTATCTTATGTCATTCAGGTATTAATTTACTTTTATAGGATCAAGATTGGAGAGAAGCTAAAGTAATTTTATGATTAAAAAACTATCTTATTAGAAAAGACAAAGATGGTGACTAATGTCAACATTTAGTTCAAACACACTAGAAGGATAATGAACTCAAACATGGTATTTACGTCCAAATAGTAGAAATGATACTGATATTGGTAAATATCTACTTTTTTCACAAAATTATAAGTTTTCGTCCCTTTAGAAAGTTTCTCCTGTGCAGTAGACTAAAGACATATCAAATGAAAGGAAAAAGAAGGGGCCATAAAAGGAGAGAAAACATTTTTTATGGACAAATAAAAGCATAGTAAAGAAAAGATGAACATGAAACAATACTGTCCTTTGGGTTGCTGATCATGAAATCTTTAATAAAAGAGAGAGGAGGTGGGGGAGGGGAATGAAAGTGAAAACAAAATGTGGTAACAAATAGTGGTATAGAGTATGGATGGGAGGCTTTAAGTTAATCCCAACAATCATCATGTAATAGCTTCCTTTTTCATAAGAAGTCAATTGGATGTTTTTAGGTTCTACAGAAATCTGGGTACTCCCCTGTTCCAAAAGATAAACGAGGATTAAGGAAAAGTTAACGTCCATAGAACTTTTCACTCCAAATCTTTTTATGTTTCTGTTAGAGAATGAAGAAAACCTGGTTCCTCCGTGTCCCATGGAAGGATATAGATTTCTGTCACAGAGGAGGTAATAAATGGGGTCACAACATCCCTCCCCTTTGAAACAACTATTGGGCCGGTATGTCCATGGAATTTGCCTGGAAGTTTTAGGCCAAGTCCTTCAAGTCCAAATCTATGGCTATTTAAGTTATATAAACTCCAGGGTCCTGAGGCTGCTCAGAGCACAAGGACCCTAATTTTGTCAGAGGGTTGGAAGCATCATGGCCAGTATCTAAATATTAGTTACGCCCTAACTGGTTTGGCTCAGTGGGTAGAGCGTCAGCCTGCGGACTGAAGGGTCCCAGGTTCGATTCCGGTCAAGGGCATGTACCTTGGCTGTGGTCACATCCCCAGTAGGGGATGTAATAGTATAAAAGAAAGCCAAGTTAATAATAAATAAATGAATAAATAAATGAATAAATGAATAAATAAATAAATAAATAAATAAATAAATAAATATTAGTTAGAATTATTTCAAAGAATAAACTATATTCTAAGACTGAAGCACAATGTACCACAGACATGTATGGATAACGAACGATGTAATGGGAATTCGGAGGAGTGAAGATTGCCTCTGGGTGAGTGGTCTGGGAAAGGCTTCATCTAAAGGGGACACATATAGGTTATATCTTAAAGCATGAGAAGAATTTGAACAGATAATCTTGGAGTTGGGCAAAGTGTGGGATGGGTTAGGAGCAGCTATCATTTCTAGGCCATGGTAACACTGTTAGAGCAAAGAGATGGAGACAAGAGTTCAGGGCACATTTGAAAGATAAAACCATCATGATGATACCAGTTGAAAGTTAATGGGAGAGAAAATTCCTATCAAGATTATGAGAGAACAGCAGCACTTTCACCGAACATATCAGAATCATACATACTGATTAGCTAATAGATAAAAGTTCCCACAATGTTTTCCTGCAATAAATGTATAGAGTTTACAAACATCTATTAATATCTATTTGCAATAAACATGTTCCTTAAATTTGTATTTTGTGACATGACTGATATTTTATAAAAGACACTAGGGGCCGGTGCATGGATTCATGCACATTGAAAGGAAATTAATTAGAAGAAATATTTTAATATTGCTGTTCACCCTTTATAATATAAGTGTCAGAGATGAAAGAAAATTAGTAAAATGTATATGAAAATATATATTGATTAATAAATAAACTATAACAAAGACATGATATAACAATAATAAAGACCTGATATAAAAACAACATTGATAAAAACAATGACTGATAAATTGATTAAACTTACTCTAATATCTCCCTGTATGCCACATTAAGAGTAAAAACACTTTCAGAGCGCTTGACCAATTTCCCTTGCATGAAGTATTTACAACTTTAACTTTAACATCACACACTGTTCGAACTCGAGAGAGAAAGCAACATATAACTGACCATGTCCGAAAACGGGTTCAGGTAGGAATATTCCTACTCTGTCTAGAGTTTGTCCTTGTGATTTATTAATAGTCATCGCAAATGCTGGCATCATGGGAAACTGTCTTCGAATTAATTTAAGTGGGAGGCTAGTGTCAGGCAGGGACAAATATTGCGCATGTGCGAGTCAATGTTTATTTTTAAATTGCCAGTGCGCATCATATGTACTGGCTGGCCGGTCGGTCAGTCGGACATATGTACAGTCGGTCACTTAGCCTTTTATATATATAGATGAAATTGATAATACTTATTCAACACTTACTATATGCTTACTAAACCAGGCACTAATGTTTGCTAAGCTCTCCCCCTCTAATCTTCAGTAGGTTATAGTGGGAACAGCCGTGCTTATATAACAACATTTGTGCACTTGGGGGGGGGGGTCCCCCTCAGTACTGCCTATGCCCTTTCGCAGTCTGGGAGCCCTCGGGGGATGTCTGACTGACGGCTTAGGCCCGCTCCCCATTAGTTGGACATCCTTAGCGCTGCTGCAGAGGTGGGCTGCTGTGCTCACCAGCCATCAGCCTGGCTTGTGGCTGAGCAGCGCTCCCCCTGTGGGGGCACACTGACCATCAGGAGGCAGCTTCTGCGTTGAGTGCCTGCCCCCTGGTGGTCAGTGCGTGTCATAGCGACTGGTCGTTCGCTGTTTGGTCAATATGCTTATTACCCTTTTATTATATAGGACTAGAGGCCCAGTGCACAAAATTTGTGCCCGGGTAGGGTCCCTAGGTCTGGCTGGTGATCAGGGATGCTCTGTGGGGCAACTGGCGGGGTGATCAAGGGGCCCCCGCTGGCACCCACCTTGGCCAGCCTGGTGCTACCTGCTCGCTGGCCCCGTCCCTCATTGCCGCCGCCGGTCGCCTCCCTCTGCGGGGCGACCTGCAGGGCAATCGGGGGGCCCCCGCTGGCACCCGCCATGGCTGGCCTGGGGCCTGCAGGCTGGGGGCAGT